CTGTTTGGCATATTGTGCAGGTACCCTCCATATGTCCTAATCAGGAAATTTATAAGAGCCATCAGCGCCATTTATCAAGTTTCCTGCTTCCACAATTTATTATAGTCTTATTTGGTCTTATTATACTATGGTAGTCTTATTTGGTCTTAGTTTATTATCATAGTCTTATTTGGTGTTGTTATAGTCTTATTTGGTCTTAATATATCATTATAGTCTTATTTGGTCTTATCATATTATTATAGTCTTATTTGGTCATATAATACTATATAATTATAGTCTTATTTGGTCTTATTATATTATTATAGTTTGAGACTATTCCGTGACATCACAGAAGACAACAAGATGGAAAATGTTAAACTTTAATGTCACTGTTGCCTTGGAAGCACGACGGCTAATTTTACGAATGATACAGGTGAAATCGACCACGTGGAGGGAAATCGTCTCCATACGTCTGTCTGTCTCGTATATTACTTGTTTTTAATCTATTGTGATATGGACCAAGGTGCCAACATTTAGCGTTTATGATTAAAACAGGAAACACTACTGGACGCTTCCTCTAAACATAAATTATGTCAACTATCTTCATCATTTGGTGCACCTTTGATCGAATATTTATTATTATTAATATAACGATACACAAATCAATTCAGTTTTAGTTATTTTCATTCTAGTTCACTTAATCCGTAACTTGAGAAAATGAAAAACGTCCGTCTGTTGGGTTTCAGAGAGTTAATTAAATGAGGAAATATTATTAAGCCATACCATACACAACACCTTATTTAATCAAAATTAATTATATTCTCACCTATTGTCAAACGGATTAAGCAAAGAGCGTCTATAAGTTATCAATCAATCTAGTTGAGGTATTACACATCATGTAAGTTTGTTGTCAGATCATTAATGGCCAATTTCCCCTTTCGTCAGTGCTAATAGTGACGTATACAATGATAAATTATTATTAATAAACGAACATATCCGCAACGTGGGATCGATGACAGGAAAGGTGTGTTGATGCACGCATTGATACAAATGCGCAGAAGCTAGAAATTAGAATGTCTCAATTTGACATTGATTTATTTTCGATTTGTTATAGTTCTGATTTTTGCATCACATGTTTTTCTCAAAGGAATATTCCTGGCCAGACCATTTCTATCCTGATATGATAGTCATAAGCATATACTGTACCATCTGTAAAGAAAAGAAGGTGCATGCATGGCCCTTTATCAGTCATAACATTTTCGAAACGTTTGATAATATTACTAAACTCTTCGAGGCATATGGCGTAAATATGGTGAATAACTGATGGGAATTTCAAGAAATTAGATGAAACTTTAAAAAGTTAGCAATTGTTGAATACATTGCTCACTAATGTGAATTTTTTCCCTTTAAATTACGTCATAAATTACAAATTTGTATACAGGGTAAAACATTGCCACAGGCTGGGACATAATATTCTATGTTATATTCTTCATGCCATTGTAAAGCCCATCCAAAACTACTTATAACTGACAGGTTTGAAATAAACATTAACACAGTCAAAAAATCACTACAGGCAAAAAAACTATGACAGTGTCAAAAAACATCTTAAGCATGATTTTTAGATGATTTTACGCCTTAAATAGCGGTGAAATTAGGGGTAGGATGTATGCATTTTGCTCAATAAACGCATATATATTTCACATCTGACATAAATATTGGTTTACTTAGCTAAGTATAGGATGTATAACATATGTGTTGGTCATTGAGAAAGACCAGACTAAGGGTTATGATTATTTTACAATTTCAAGTTTATTGTTACCCTACCCCTGATTTTGAACTGAGAAGAGACCTCTGAATCTGAAGGATACTACATCAAATGTCATCACAAAATGGTTGTAATCAATCAGACTTTCATTCTATAACTGACATTTTTCACAAAGTTTTATTGGATTGAAAACTTTTTAAAATGGTATATTCCTCTAAACGTAACTAATAATTTAATTTCAGAAGATCTCCTTGTTGAGCACATTGCTGGGTATGGGATTTCTCATATTTATGACCCCAATTTATGGTTAAGAGTCACACTCACTATTTTGGGAGTTGTTCCATTCAATCCTTTCTAACTTTTTACTTACAGAGGGTATGTATTTACTTTCGAAAACCAAAACATGGGAAAATCAGTGTTTCGATACAGTCAATATTGATCATTTAAAATTGTAAATATTAATGCTCATTTCCAGTAAGCTGTCATATTTTGAAATTTCACTCAGGAAGTGATGTCATCAACTCTCAACTTTCTTAACCTTGCCCATAGTATTAGGAAATAAGCACTAAATCACTTCTAGACACGTGGTCCTTACTTTGTGCAAAAATATTTTCAGAGCTAGATTACAATAAAAGAAGAGACTTTAGAAAGATTCAATCGGAGACCGAAAATTAAAAAAAGAAAATTCAGTTGGTTTTGTACATCTTAATAGCTCCTAATGCTATATGCAAAGTTGAGAGTCGATGACATCACTTCCTGAGTGAAATCTTAAAAGATGGCAGCCTACTGGAATTGAGCACTATATTTTTAAGTGATCAATGTGTTTTGCTAAACAGGGAAAGAAAATATTGTTGTTGCCATATAAGAGGGAGATGGTCTGGCAAGGATTTTTTTTAATTTTTTTTATTTATAGTTTATTTTATTTACACAAAAAGCAATAGTTAATGCAATACAATACAATTTGGCTAGGCTCAAAGAGCATTATTAGCCAAGTATGAATGCAATATATAAAACCTTATAATCAAGGTAACATCTTTAAAGTTCACTCAACAGGGGCCTGGGTGATGGCTGCACACTTTTCTAGAAATATTTCACTGATATTTCACTGGCAAGGAATGTTCCCTTAAATTATCATTGTGCAATGTTCACACAGTTCAGAATGTATATCTTTTTTCCTTTCGTCACAAAAGATCGAGATGGTCACGATGAGGAGATGGCATGAAGGAAGACTTAAAAGCTTATACAAAATTGATTACAAAATTTTAAGGGCCGTTTAAATAATTCTGCAAAAGTAATTAGTGTATATATATATTGGTTTTTTAAAGGTGTAATAAATAAATAAAGAGATAGATTAATAATAAATATCAATAACTATTAACATAACTAACCATTGCTGTATATATTATATATATGTTCCCAACCTTACACTGTCACACTGTCAAGGTAATAATATACAATTATTGACCTCTCCAGAGGTTTACTGTCAAAATTATATCCCGAGACTGTAAACCGAGACGGTCTCGGTTTACAGTCTCGGGATATAATTTTGACAGTAAACCGAATGGAGAGGTCTATAATTGTTTTGTTAGTCCAAAGAATATCTTAGATTTTTGACCCTTGAAGTTGACTTGAAGCTGGATCCAGACCCTCGAGACGTTCATGTTGTATTTCAGTATATCGGCAGTAAGTTCACTCAATGGAGTCAAATTACTCTCCTGGGCGAAGTCCACTAAAAGCTTTGTAGAAAGTTTTAGATTTTTCTTCGTATTTTGACTGTCTTTACCTCTGAGAGACTAATAATATCCTCATCTTCAACATTTTTGAAACGGCTAGTGCTAGCGGCGGCCATTTTATCGTCTGATAATGACGTCATTTTAGTGGAATGCTGGGAATATTATTCACCGACAATGCATTGCGCGGTGTACAGTTAAAATTATTCACCGCTCGTTGACCAATCAAAATCGAGTATTTCAACTGAGGTACTAACAATATATATTATATATATATGTTCCCAACCTTACACTGTCACACTGTCAATGCATATTACTTTAAGCCTACAATGTAAAATTCCACGTCTTGCTCTCCTCTCCATAAGTTTGACAACCAGATGTTTTCATTCGGTTGTATATCAAAGCCTGTCAAGTTCTGAAATTAATATTGTTGAGATACTGAAATTTTACGAAAAATTCAAAAAAAAATTCTAATCCGTCAAACCTAAACAGGTTTATGGATAAGTGGTCCAAAAATGGACTTCTAGTTTCCAAATTTAAGGAGGGTAGTGTAGTAGTAATCGACAAATTTGGGAACATATATATATATATTATTACCTTGACAGTGTGACAGTGTAAGGTTGATAAAAACGTCTGAATAAATATAGTTCTGTAAAATTGTGCTAAGTTGAATGCCTGTCTCATGCCTGGTAACGACCAAGTTGTTATTAATAGTGAATTTCAATTTTCAATTTTTCGTTCAACGTTATTCACTTTAATCAAATGGACATTTATTTTCTAAAACTTTGATAAAGCACATTTTCTAACAGTAAATTATCATGAAAGTAGAGTTTAGAATGTTTATTGACACACGATAGTCAATCAATAACGCTGTATATCAGCAATTTTTCATCACGCACATACCGTAATGCACACTGTTCCTTTAGAAATGTTAATATACACACGGGGACCCTTCACCATATATGGCACCACAGAGACCAAGATCACAACCAAATAGAGGCAGAGGAAAACCCCGTGGCGTTAATCATCAAAGACTTTTGTTAAGTTATGACAAAAGAAGTCGAAGAAGCCAAGAGCCTTTGCATAGCTAATAACGATAAAACCAACGATTACATCTGACAAATCGGTGCAATAACTAATCGCTACGACCCTCTTAATTTCAATCCATTTGGGCAATACGAGGCTGGGGTGAAAATAAGATATTATAATTTTAGTGCGCGTGGGCATTCTACACATTTAGCGTTTTTCAAGTGTCTCTCCCGAGTCTAAATACAAGAGCCATCAAATACAGGATAAACACATCAGAGGAAGACTTGATTTAGATTAACCATTATAAACCAAGGATGTGTAAAAACATCATTCCGAACGTAGGTGAACCTGCTTTATCAGTTTGATGCACGTAGTTTGCTCTGTGACGCTTCACGACGAACAGGTAACGTACTGTTTCCCGATATTCTCCGCACTTATCCAGGGTTGCCAAGATCTGTCGCTTTTCCATAAGTGTTAATTAACAAGCCTTGAGGATTAAAACGTATAGCTTCAATATTACATTAATTAAATTAGTGACTCGAGGACTAGAGATACTTCGGCAATAAACCACTCACTAATTTTTTTTCGATTTTCAGCGGTGGGAAAATATTTACATAGGAAATAGTTCCAGTTCGTTTGACTCTCTTTGATGGGAGGGCGATTACAATAAAAGGATAAGAAGACAGATTGAAACTTGACCGAATACTTGGAAGGCGTGACAGCCCACACATAGATACTGACGAAGAATACGGGTACATTAAGGCAAGGCATAGTCCTTTTCTGTCTTTTAATATTGGATTAATACGCCAAGCACGTTCTGACACAGGACTTTGGTCACGGAGAGAATTTGGTAAATTTTTATTAGATTATTCATATAGTTTAAAGCGATCTTAATCTAGAATTTGAGATGGAATATTTAATTTGCAATAAAGTGTACGATCACATTGTATTTGGTGCAATAATTTGTGATAACTTTGTGTTTACCTTATACTCGTGCTAATATTTATAATCTCTCATGAGGAATGTTTTTGGGGTTAAAGATCATGGCATTTACTGCAATTAAGGGTTTACACAGTAAATTATATTGACTGTAGATGTGTATTTTTACAAATCATTGATTTATCTCATAAAATCTATCGGATTCGTATTAATTTTAGATGTTTGAAAAGGTAGCATTTTCAGACTCTAAAAGCGCGTAACGTTTATGTCAGTATATGTAACAAGTCCAGTGTTATCAATTTTTTGTATTTTCCTTTCAACTTTTGATTACTAAATGACGAACTTAAGAAACATATATTGGATGTCCTGAAAAGGTGAACCACTTTCAGACTAGTAATTTCCAAAGGTTAATACAAGAAGTTCATAAATGTAGCTGGCGTTGGCATCTGTCAATCAGTCTTAGTATTACCTTGCCAAGGTGTCAGATCAAATGATTTGTTTCAATGTTGTCTGAAAGAAAATCAGTTTTGCCCAAAATTTTAGTTTGAAGGATAATGATGCCTTTGGGTGAAAGAGATAAGGCTACAAAACTTTTTTAATGAGAATTATTTGGGGCGAAAGAATATTCGCAAAGGTATTTCCGGGCAAGGGTCCGAGTCGTGTAACCGTAAATATACACCATAGGACGGAATGGGAGACGAGATCTTTGGAAGAAATACACAAAAGCATTCAAGCTTGAAAAACTGTTAAGATAAGTGACTTTTCTGTTGATATTGGATATTTTGACATGTTGTTTTTAATTTGACAATACCTGCATAGATTGCAGCTGACCTCTTGAATATTTTGTAGGCTTGTTGACGATAACCAACTACTGAGTAACATTTCAAAGAATTCGGTTCATCTGCTGTATAGAAAATAATAGTCAAAAAGTGGTTTACTGTTTTTGGGACACCCAATATATAATAGAATGTGCAGGTAAAAACCTGAAAAAGGCTAGTTTGACACGCTCTATTGACAAACGTACACCGAGAAAGAATATCAACGCTTCCGTTTTTTTTTAATTTCCATAAACCTGTCCATAAGACCTAAATTGAATCATTTTTTATATTCTAATGAGAATTATTTGGAATCATAGTAATCCCCACTTTCATCACCGTGTCAAAAAGGTTATGCAGAATAATCATGGGTTCGGAGAGAAATAAATAGAGATTATCCTATACGAGGTTCGGGATATTGGGATTATCCCAAGGCCAATATAAGATATATTATATTGGCCAAGGGATAATCCAAATATCCTGAACCGACTACAGGATGATCTGTTTATCCCATACCAATCACATTGTTCAATTGGCCAGTTCAGAAACTTTGCAACCAACCGTAGAATTATTTTTAAATATTCATGTCCAGTTTTGTATTCTTGTTTCTTTTCCTGTTCAAATCTTTGATTATTAACATTATTAACGGGGCATACTGCTCCTTCCCTTCTTTAAAGCATCAAACAGATCCGGTGATTGTCTGCGTTTTTCTCCATTGTCGTTTACAGTATGCGAACGTTACAAAAAAGAACCAATACGGGAACAGCGATTATGACGTAGCGGGCAGATATACTATATTTGCCCGCTTGGAGCGGGACGTAAAGCTATGTATCTCATACTCGAGTGGGTTTGGGGTAGATATCACCCGGGAATATATATCGTATCTGAGGAGCGGGCAGGATATATTGCATATGTCCCGCTCCAGGCCAAATGCGGGCAGATATAATATATCCATCCCGCTCCCGGGATTTTTTTAAAAGTTTAAAAAAGTTTATATATCAAGTTTTAATTTTTAATTTTAAAATTTAATTTTTTTAAGTTTAAATGTTACAATTTCATTGTATTGAACAAAAAGAATATTACGAAAATGTTAAATATAAATATCTTGTCATTTGAAAAAGGTGGAAAAGGTTATATCTACCCTAAACCCACTCAAGTATGAGATACACCAGTTATGCACGGTCGGTTTGGATACATGGAATATCCCTTGGGATATACAATACATCTTCCCTCGGTCTCTTCGGTCCCTCGGGAAGATATATTGTATATCCCTCGGGATATTCCCTGTATCCAAAACCTCCCAGTGCATAACCCTTATGTATCTCATACTTGAGTGGGTTTGGGGTAGATATCACCTGGGAATATATATCGTATCTGAGGAGCGGGCAGGATATATTGTATATGTCCCGCTCCAGGCCAAATGCGGGCAGATATAATGTATCCATCCCGCTCCCGGGAATTTTTCAAAAGTTTAAAAAAGTTTAGATATCAAAAGTTTTAATTTTTTAATTTTAAAATTTAATTTTTTTAAGTTTAAATGTTACAATTTCATTGTATTGAACAAAAAGAATATTACGAAAATGTTAAATATAAATATATTGTCATTTGAAAAAGGTGGAAAGGGTTATACCCTAAACCCACTCAAGTATGAGATACACCAGTTATGCACGGTCGGTTTGGATACAGGGAATATCCCTTGGGATATACAATACATCTTCTCTCGGTCCCTTCGGTCCCTCGGGAAGATATATTGTATATCCCTCGGGATATTCCCTGTATCCAAAACCTCCCAGTGCATAACCCCTATGTATCTCATACTTGAGTGGGTTTGGGGTAGATATCACCCGGGAATATATATCGTATCTGAGGAGCGGGTAGGATATATTGTATATGTCCCGCTCCAGGCCAAATGCGGGCAGATATAATATATCCATCCCGCTCCCGGGAATTTTGCAAAAGTTTAAAAAAGTTTAAATATAAAAAGTTTTAATTTTTTAATTTTAAAATTTAAATTTTTTAAGTTTAAGTGTTACAGTTTCATTGTATTGAACAAAAAGGAATATTACGAAAATGTTAAATATAAATATCTTGTCATTTGAAAAAGGTGGAAAAGGTTATATCTACCCTAAACCCACTCAAGTATGAGATACACCAGTTATGGTTTCATCTGTTTTACGTCATGGCATCCATTTATCACAAAACGTTACATTAGGTTTTCGATAGTCCAATCGATGACTAAAGGCTACAGTCATTTATCATATTTCATGTGAAAATATGAAAATCTGTAAATGGAATAGTTCATATATAATATACTAAGAAGGCTAATATCAGTGATTTTCAGGCTGAATAACAAAAACTATTTTTAATCCATACTTATATGTAAATTATACTTTCACGAGGCATCAACATAGAATACATACATCGTCCGATAGTTCCGTTATTATTAACTCCAAAAATGTCTATGTTAAAATGATTTGATACGGCGAATCTAAATGAATATGGGGCCAACCTTAAAGTGCTAAGTGCAAGTATTAATGTAGCAATGATGATATTTGTTTCAGTAGCAAGATAGTAGCAATTTAAAGAATCAATCCCACTGTAATTTGTCAATGAAAACCATAATTGGAAATTAATTTGAAAGATTTTTTATCCAAGTGAGGTGTCAAATATATGATCTAAAATTTGTGGTCGATAAAGACATTTTTGCACTTGTGCAAGTCCCAATCGCAAGGATCTGTAAAAACCGCTAAGAGGATCGCCTGTTGAAGATCAAAGTATCATGTTTAGAATATCCTGTGAAATATTGTCCCAAGAGACAACATTACAAGATTAACCAATTTTACACTCATTGAATTAGCTAGGGCAACATTGTTTGAAGGCTTCAACTATTCTAACTTGGGTTAAAGGTTCCGGATGATACCTTTAATTAAGAAATTGTATTCTCGTGTTTTTCGATTATCTAAATGAGCATCGGGGATGGCTCTGATGTGTTTAAAAGGGAAACTCTTAGAAATCAAAGGGCTTCCGGGAAGGAACCATGTCGTGTCACACATTCAGTACACCGCGTGAAAATTATATAGAAGGCGCCTACAAAAGCACAACTCCCATACTCTCGGGTATTTGATTTTAGAAGATGTGCACCTTTCGCAGATCCAAGAATTTCGAAATAGGTATGACAACTTAGGTAATTTATTGTTATGTTCCGCGATCAAAACCAATATACCTTACTTGACGGAATAATCATTTTATGACTATTTTCGGGAGATTGTTGATCATGCGTGTTTATGCTACCATGGCAGCCAATTGGAGGGCATAATTCAGGTCATGTGACAAATGAAATTTTTATGTATCATGTTAGTACATGCATCTACACTCGAACACTAAGTGTGTCTACTGATCAAATAATATGTTATCTTACAACATAGTTAAGACGTGCCTCACTAAATTAAACATGACATATCCCATTTTAAGACGAATGTGTAAATCAATTCTTCCTTCCGTCTATTTAACCAAAGCTACAGTGAAAGTGTTAAGAAGTCAAGGACAAACTCTTTGACAGTCCGCAAATTTACATAAGGAAGTCTTACATTCCTAAATGCCATCTGATTTTACACCTATATTCGGATTTATAAGTTATCATAGTAATATTAAAAGGGAGAATTGACTGATCACTCAATAGTTGGCTAATATTATCAAAAGTAAATTTACTCAAAGTTAATTATTTAATTCTTTATCACAGTGTAGATATTATCGCCCTTTCATTGTGTCGACAACTAAATCCTATATCTGTACACGCATTTTCTTTAGGTACTCTGTTATAGATTAGTATCCTCGTATACATGCACTTGGATTTTTGTTTCTATACTTTTATTTACTTATTCCAGCAAGGTATGTGTATGCAGGACCGATGTACCTTAACCGCTGTCTTAGGAATCGTCCTAGCTGTCGGTCTATGCTCAGCTGACAAGGATATATACGTTAAGTAAGAATTAGAATTTATCAAGGACTTTTAATTAATGTAATATTTACGAATAGCTAAAAAACTTTGTTTTTGACCTCTTTTAGCCTTAACATCTCCACACTGTTCCTGAAACATTTTCTTATAACTAATTGTATTGTCTAAGCCTTAGTCACATTTGCTCTACGGCGGCCGTAGCTTCACAAAATTGATATAGAAGGTCTACATCATACAGCTTATCCCAATAATTTATGCTGCATATTTCTTTCGATTTTCTCGGTCGTTCCAAAAAGATGAGCCGCTTTTTTGACAAGTATTTATCAACAATTGACCTATGAAAGTTTGTACAAAGTGGGTTAAAAATATCATCAACAAGGCTTATGAATATGAACGAGATCCTCTACATACTATACAAGTATTGGCAAATTCAACAGCATGTCAAAAATCTAATATTGGAGCTGCGCAATGAGGCCTTCCCCATACTTGTGTCATATTTCAGGAGCTGGCATTTGTTATTCAGTCCGGTGCGAAGTCTATTCATTTCGTCCATTGTTGTCTGTATCCGTCTTGTTCAAAGTTTCAGTTTTGAAGGATTAAGAATCCCTTTGAGTGAAGGTGATGAGGCTAATATTGAAAATTGTGTTTCAAGGAGAAAAAATAGGGTGGAAATATAATCGTAAAGGAATTTCTGGGCAAGGAGTGGAGTCACAAAATGCACTATATTGAAAGCCTGATATTGGAGACCAGGATGATTATGTCCGCGGCGATATTTGTGGTTGAATAATGAAATTCAAAATCTAACCCTATGTTTTTATTTTTGATTTTCTGATGCTAACCGTAAGTCTCGTTTTGGTGCCTAGTTGAAGCCAGGGTTGATGATGTTGAGCAAAAAATTTGGAATTCTTTTGTTTTTCATGAGGTTTTTGTTTAAGTCCATATAGAGTGATTCATTAAAGCCTGCATATATATGGTAATGCATAATGAGGTTTAAAATGTATCACTTTGTCAAAATCTTCAAGCATAATTTAATTTAATAGGTTGTTTTAAGGCAGTTTTCAAGTTGTCAATCTATTTATGAAAAAAATAAGTATTAGTTAAAATCAAAACCAAGAATTGTTTATACTAGTTTAGCGATTCCTGATTTCTGCCAAGGAATTTTTTTAATTAATTGGTTGTTCTCACAAGTAGTAGTTTGATTATAATTTCTGATTTCAGAAAAGCCCAACAATTGCTAGAGACGAGAAATAATCTTCTCCATATAAAGGACCTGGTGGGGGCGTTAGATGGAGAATTGGAAAGAATACAGTAAGTCATTCTCAATAAATCGCTACACATTCCAATCACATTCTAAACATTATGAAAAGGTAGTATGTGAGAAATTTTCAAAATCCATTGTGTTAATAAAAAGACTTTCTTTAAAGCAAATGTGCTGTCAGTAAAAGTACAGAAGTACACCGTGTTATACTGAGGCTTATTACAGAATGATAATTTACGTTTTACCAAAACACAGACAAATAACCATTTTCCGTATAGCTTTTACCTTCCTAACAAAATGAAGAAATTGATGCGATTTTAAAACAATTACACTCCACTCTCATTAGTTTGACAACGTGATTCTCAGATAGTCCCATTTAACAAATCTTGTTTTTTTGGCGATTTACAAAACAAACACAAACGTCATTACCATGATTGTAATTCATGAATAAATTTAAGATTCACACATTCTCAGGTTTTGATTTACTCTGCTATGGCAACTTCCTGTTGGGAAACTTATGGAGGGGAGTGTATATTTGTGTTGTGCTGCCATGGCAACATGGGAATGTACAGGTTAATGTAAGGTTAATTATTAGACTTCCTCTAAAGACAATTATCCATGTATTTATTAGGTAGAATGAACATTTCTAGTTTTTACCCTGTTTATCCGCATAGCAACTTACAGTAGTATACGTTTTGTTCTGCCTTTAATACGAAACTGAAGTATTTATTGTCAACCAAGGTCATTATATTTTTCATCTAATATAGTGGATATCGTTTTGGACTTCGTGACACATTTATGCCACAATTGCATGCGTTCATTGCTCAAAGGGATTCGTATTCTTTATTAAACCACCGTAGTGGGTGAAAAGTAATTAAGAAAAGTAAAAATCTGTACTTTCAAGAAATCAATATACGCTAAATGGAATCGAACTAATTAAAATCAGTTGGTCAATCCGAGGATATATTTATACAATCCCATATAGGCATTTGTTGTACTTTTAATAATAGGGAAAAATGGAGGTGCGTGTAACTTTTACATGTTACTGTCTTTCATGTCTGTTATTATTCATTGTAACCTTCACAAAAGGTATTAATTTATTAGTTTCCGTTTGTAGGTTCTAATCTAATTTGTTTTGACTAAATACATATCTCAAAAATGCCTTATCACTTATCAAAATTGTCGTTCGAGGTATTTAGTGCTCAGATGGTTTATACAACAATCGTCAATTACAGGGTGGTCCAAAAAAGGTGAACCCCTCCAACGGGCCAAATTTTATTTTACTACTTGCAGGAATTCTTTTATATTTTCACATGTTGTAGAGGAAGGTCTAAAATTCATGTTGGCATCATACATTTTTCTTAGTCTTGAAATTTGAAGAAATTATAAGCCCTAACCAAATAATACTGAATATGGATATAATTTGATTTTCAATATCCGCGATTCTTCAACACTTCAACACCCTTCCCCTGACATTTTTTAGGTAGTTTAGAAAATACAACACCAAGAAAATGCATGCTGGGGCTCCCAGAGGATATACACATTTTTCACCAAGTGCTTTTTTCGTAGTTTATGCATGTAGACACATATACCCTATGGGAGTAGAAGAAGTAAAAAAGTTATATAGCACATTAATTAAGCTAGACATGTAGATATTTAAGAAACACATGGCAGCCATCTTGAAAAATGGCGGCTTTTACACACGATTTTACAATTTTTGCTATAACTTGAAAAGTAGTGGAGCGATTTTGTTCATATTTAATATGTGACTACTTATTAGCATGCCACACTGTTTTATGATATTTTGGCAAGAAGGCGGCCATTTTGAAAATGGCCACCATTATTTACACGCTATTTTACAATTTTTGCTGTACTTGAAAAGTAGTGGAGCGATTTTGTTCATATTTGATATGTGACTACTTAGCTTTATGGCATTACAGTGACATGAAAATCTGATTCAAATGAATTTAGTCATCCTAGAAAGCCCCACCATGAGTGAGATCGTTCAAGTTTTTTTTTCAAATATTTGATCAATTTTGTATGGAACATGTGATATTTTATGTGTTCAGATTAGATAGGTTAATTTTTCAAACATGACTGTTCACTGTCCAAATTGGGAGGTGTTCATATTTCAAGTTTTTTTAACATTTGAGTCAATGGGAGGAAAAACGGGACCAAAAAATGTTCAAATTGGGAGGTGTTCGGATTAGCCAAGTGTTCAGATATACAGGTTTTACTGTACTACAATTGTTTTCAATCTTTTGGAGGAAAGTGAACATCATTACAGAGAAATGACAGGTGACACACTGTCATGGGAACTGGTCATATCAGATGTTCCCACGCTTTTCGTCCAGAAGAGGTCATTTTCCAGGATTATAGATGAACCCTTGGCCAATCAATGATATACTTTACATAAGAGAAGTATGACTGTATGAATTCTGGGATATTCCTGTTTTGTTGAGACAGGTGAGAATAAAATTAACCCTTTGCAAATTTGATCAAAACTGCCTCCAATCATCCAATACTTGGCTCAGTTAAAATAGTTGATTTATAATTGAATTCGATAATAACATTTAAAAATTAAATGTGTAGTAGTAATACTTTAGTACCTCTTATTGATTAATGTATAATATTACATAATGATGTAGGCAATTTGTTTCATAAAAATCTAAAAGTGAAATTCATAATTTTAATTTACCCTCTGGGAGCCCCAAAATCTTAGAAAATGCATTTTCTTGGTGATGTATTTTCTAAACTACCCATTTTTTAAGCTGCAGTCTAAAAGAACGAATATTTTCTCACTTTGTTCAATCTTGAATCCCGCACATTATGGCTTAAAACTAGCATCCTACCTTTGTTAGTTGCAAAGTTCTTGTGATCCAAAGAAATGTTCTAAGCTTCCATAAACGATATCATTTTTCAGTGAAATCGCGAACATACCCCTATATGATCTTGAAATGTTAATATCTTCATAAATCATGGACCGATTCTAATGAAATATGGCTCAAAACATTGATTATTAGATTTTCCTTTGATTTTCTAAAGATATTTGATGAAGGGCTTCTCAGATTCCTGGTCACAGGGGGCAACTTCCTTCCACAAGAGGCCCTCCTCTAACTGTTGGTGTAGGTAACATACCCCTGAACCGTTGAACTGCTTCAAAATGATCAATGAAAGTGTGAAATGTGTTTTCTGATGAAATAGTTTCCCTTTTATCATATGGTAGGGTTTTAAACTTGTATCTCTAACTGAAAGCTCTTTAAGATCATCCAATGTGTTTCAACAATTTCTGTGAATCACATTGGTAAAATTTTGCACAATATCTAATTTTCAGGCATGTTTGCTAAACTCTTGTAATTTCTTCAAAATTAAAGACTGAGATTACACCAAAATTTTAGACCTTTCTCTAAAACATGTGAAAATATGAGTCTATTCGTGCAAGTTTAAAGAAAAAATAGCCTGTTGCAGGGTTCACTTTTTTGGACCTCCCTATAGGATTAAATATGAAGGTGTTATTTAAAACAGAAATTAGAAAATAACATCCACAGGGGTTGAATTGGGAAATACAAATGTTAATTAAAAATTGTTTTAACTCATCGATCTCTCTAGGCGATATTGACTTTTATTGGATTTCTTTTAAAAACATAAGCTGAATTACCTATTAGCCCCATATTGTTGTTATGTCGTCTAAGAACACTTAGTTTGTAAATTGGAATCAGACGGTCGATGAAACCGCAATAAACAACTTTGTTATAAATTGTGTAAAGTATGTAACAAAGCTACCAGAAGGTATCAAAGTTCAATCCACTGTCTTTCAATTCGCCCTGAGGATTATCGGGGTTGGTTTTGATTTAGCTCCTGTGAATGGACTCACTCACTTTCATGTTGATCTGACATTATGCGCTGTCCGTGTCAAATGTGTAGGAGTACAACTCCGCATTTTTGAAATTGTATTTGTGGTATGAATATACTGTTCTGCGTCAAATAAGTTGTATACCAATACTACTACTACTACTACTATTTGTTGAAGCTACATCTACATTTTCTTCAGATTTCGTATTTACTTTTTGCTTGTCATCTGCATAATTTGTATACTGGTTTTGTTTAATAATGTATTATAGATTTTTTATTAAGGAGAATGAAATATTTTGTTTTTATTTTACTGTTAAGCTCAATATCTTCAATATTACTATTGTTCATACTTTATAACATGAATAAATACACCGATTATTAATTTTCTCACACTTTCTATTGGTCAAGTTATTAACACAAATAGTATAACTATTACTTTGTTTTAATGTGAATTTTAAGTAATACATTCAAATGTTTGGAATAGTATTTATAGGAGCTAGTTACGTACTTTCAAAAATAGTATAGCATAAAACCAACACTCAACTTGCATCATGTTCCCTGTAAAACTCTGAAGTACACTTGTGATGGGGGACCCATGCGAATACGTTGAGAATATCTTTTGCGATTGGAAAAGGTCAAATAAAGGTGCCTTGAATTGAAACTGTTTTTAAATTGCTTTCAGGACAGCTAATGCCAATTTCATACTCTTATATAGCTGGAATCGCGTAGTAATATATATGACGTCATTTCAGGAAAAAGACCTGTGCCATAGGAGGTGGTCTGAGTCACCACTGTGCGCTACAGGGCCTCAACGACAAGATGCAGGTTTACGATTGGTTGAAAAGTGGGCTCAGTCCTGGCAGAAGAAGACGATCGATTGCCGACCTCTTTGCATCAAGTGATCAACATGTTGAAATGAAAAGGTGGGCGATGGCGTATGGTGTTGTCATAATCTTGGTCTAAATCTAGTCTAATCTGATCATATGTTATGTTATGTTATGTTATATTTATTTTCATATCTTAATTATTACAATTTATCATAGCTCTTTTTGTCGTTTTTAACTCTAAAAAGATATCTTAGACTTAGAAATGTCTTTTTGTCGATGACAACTATTTTTTAACCGAAGTTTAAGTTTAATATGTTAATCTGTGACAAACAGCGACTCTCGTTATATAAATTTAGTTTATTAGCCTTGTAACATTTTATGATAAAAATAATTAATGTAAGCACAGAATGAAATTGGTTGAATACTATGTTTCAACAGGAGGAAATCCCTATGCTCTTTGAAACAGACACGTGCTCTGTGTGACAAACTAGAGACAATTAAGAAAAGTGGTGCAAACTTGAAATCCCAAAACAAGGATATCCTATCAATAATTGATATTGATCCTCTAATAAGGTGTACTTTTATCTCATGATGAGAATAATTACAGTTCTAGTCAACGCATTGGGATTAATCCTCAGTCTAACGCACAGGGAACGGTTATGTGAAGGAATTGAAATGTGTAGCATGACACACATTCACTTTGTGGTAGATTGTTATAGTATAAGAAGCAATATAATCTCGTATATACTCTTGCTTTGATGATACTGTATTTCAAGTTTTACTACAGTATACAGGGTGGGCCAAAAAACCAACATCCAAGTTTAAAGATGAATGACCCATGTTAAACCATGACATGTCTCATATATCATTTTCAAGATAAATCATTTCCTTACAGAATGACACCATCCAGTTGAACTACCTTTGTTTTCTCGTGGAGTTAGAGACTAAAATTGACACAAGGGGTGCCTTGAGCGACCAAAAATCAAAAAATGAAAATTCCCAAATTTTCCTTCATATTGTAGTCACAGCTGCACTCAATATGCTTGACCGAATCATCACAATGAGGATTGGCTCTCAGAATCGAAGTCGATATTTTCCAACAATGAAAACGCCGAAATGTCGTTATTTTCTGAATTTATAAATGATAATAAATACAAAATAAACAGTCCAAAAGATTCGAACCAATATCTCGATCAATTCATGTGAGTTTTGTAATTTTTCGTTTTGAAATAAGACCAAAATTCACGATTCAAATGTTGAAGTAAACAAAATGGCGGCTGATGGAATTCGAATTTTGTAGCACGACATCCCCATATATGGGACAAAATATCGATGTTGCACTCTAGGAGCCAATCCTCCATGGAATCATCATAAATTTATATAAGAATACACGATTGATAATTAATTAAAAATATAATTAAAAGTATTATTGCTTAATTTTGCACTATGCTTGTATAAATGAACCTCTTTTGAAGTTGCCAAAGTTCAAATTTCCCATTTTCCACAATTTGGAAATCCGCAGTGAATATCTTTTTGGTCGCTCATCACACTCCTGGAGTCAATGATCTGTTTGATTTGATGAATTTTTTAAATTTCCAAACATGAACATGAGTTCATATCCGATCTAAAAGGGGGAAGGACGATTCTCGGTTTGGAGAACAAAGTTCATCAATCTAAATGAGCATTATCCCTGCTTCGGACAAATTTGATTTTTTTACATAATATAGATTTTTGAATGTCTTCTTTTGAATAGTCATAATTTAATTTGGGTAATATTACTAGATTTTTCGCAAAAAAATATTAGCGCAGTACACTGATGAACTTCTTTCCCCAAATCGAGACTTGTATTTTATTGAATCGGTCTAGTTGAGCGTTATCCCTGCTTCAGACCAATTTGTTATTTTTACATCTTGTAGATTTAAATGTCCTCTTTTGAATATTCATAGTTTAATTTGGGTAATATTTCTATATTTTTCATGAAAAAATTATTAGCCCAGGAGACTGTTCTCCAAACCGAGAATCGTCCTTTCGATTACTAATTTTATCAAACGAATGTGGTATTAGGAATTGTTTAATGCTTTCACTATGTGGTGGTTCAATAATATTAATTAAGGTCTCATTACACATGAGATTTATTTGTAGGTGGTGGGATTTTTAATTAAGGTGTTCCTATGCTGTCATGTAATAATTTTACATTTAACGTTAACCTTAAAACCATCAGCTTCGATGATGTAACTAAAATCCTAAAGTTGGCGAGGTATAAAGCCATTGGGGATATAACTGTGTTTTATTTATCCACAATGCTCAGCAATATATAAAATAGACATATGTGGAAAAACCTTGAATGTTTATGTGTTGAAATATGTCGATAATCGATTCCATCCTGTCAAGTCTACAATATACAGGGTGGTCCAAAAAAGTGAACCCCTGCAACAGGCTACATTTTTCTTAATACATGTGTAACGACCCTTGGGCACGCTCGTCGGGGAGCTGTAGTGTACCGAGCCAGATACTAGACTCGAAAGAGAATGTGCTAAATTCAATGCCCCTTACGGGAATCGCTCCCGCTCTCGAGTCAGACGCTCTACCCCTGAGCCATAAAGGCTAGCCACTACAGCTGAGACTGTAGTAGCGACTTGATATCGAAGGTCATTACACATGCATGAATTGGCTCATATTATGAAGAGAAAGGTCTAAAATTTTGGTTGATGCCATAATTAATTCTCAGTCTTAAATTTTGAAGAAATTACAAACGTTTAACAAACATGCCTGGAAATGAGATATTGTACAAAATTTTACATATGTTATTCACGGAAATTGTTGAAACACATTGGATGATCTTAAACAGCTTTCAGTTAGAGATAAAAGTTTAAAACCCTACCATATGACAAAAGGGACACTATTAAAGCAGAAAACACATTTCACACTTTCATTGATCATTTTGAAGCATTTTATCTGTTCAACAGTTCAGGGGTATGGTACCTACACCAACAGTTAGAGGGGGGCCTCTTATGGAAGGAAGTTGCCCCCTGTGACCAGGAATCTGATAACCCATTCATCAAATATCTTTAAAAAATCAAAAGAAAATTCAATTTTCAATGTTTTGAGTCATATATCATTAGAATTGGTCCATGATTTATGAAGATATTGACATTTCAAGATCATACAGGGGTATGTTCATGATTTCACTGGAAAATGTTTTCGTCTGTGGAAGCTTAGCACATCTCTTTGGATCACAATAACTTTGCAACTAACAAAGGTAGGATGCTAGTTTTAAGCCATAATGTGCAGGATTTAAAATTGAACAAAGTCAGAAAATATTACTTCTTTAAACTGCAGCTTAAAAAATTCTCAAGGGAAAGGTGTTAAAGGGTTGAAGAATCGCGGATATTGAAAATCATAATTTGTCCATTTTCAGTAATGTTTGGTTAGGGCTTATAATTTCTGCAAATTTCAAGACTAAGAAGAATGTATGGTACCAACATGAATTTTAGACCTTCCTCTACAACGTGTGAAAATAAAAAATAATTCCTGCAAGTAATAAGGGAAATATGGCCAGTTGCAGGGGTTCACTTTTTTTGGACCACCCTGTATTATTAATTAAAGACAAATATTTCTTTTCTACCGCATGAAACTGCGTACAAAATGTATGTTAATTTCTTTTAATTGTAGAGCCATCGAGACCCTTAAAAATAAAAGAAGTGCACTAAACATATTGAGAAGATTGCTAGAAGATTTAGACGAAGACCTCATGCTGGAACAGTAAGTTAGCAATAAGATTACTTTATATTAACTATGTCAAAGTCAGGCTCACATTTGCTAAGGTGACCATGTGGTCTATAGGCTATTTACGGTCAAAAGCAATCTCAAGACCGCCGAAGTCTTGGTTTCTACTGTCAAACAATGCGGCGTACGTTGTGCAGACAGAAAACCTAAGCTTGCCGTTCTGCCGTTTGAAGTGATGACGCACGGTCGCCTTATGACTCACTCAAATTTGCTATAAATATAATACGTTAAAAAGTGTACTAAGGTTTGAATTATTCAATATAATTCACGTCGTGCTATCTATATATGTATATGTGCTATTATTAATATAGATGATGACCATTATTGCTTTGCAATTGAGTTGTTATTTCTGGACCACTGCCGTATAACAACCTTAACGGATGTTGACTCATGTGTTGACTTCAAAATTCTCAAATACTTTTTAAGCAAAAAATATTCACCATACATGCTATTTCAAATAAGTCTTATTCGAGATTACAAAATTCGTTTATACTCCAGTAAAATCTTGAAAAATAAATGAAAAAATTGCAACACAATGTAAACCTAGTGTAATCAATAGCCATTGGTAAGTGAAACAACATATCAAAAATCTAGAAAAATCTAAGCAGTGGAAGACTAAGAATTCAAAGGATGAAGATACCCTCCTTAATCACCCCCTAAATCTCAATGATATATCTTTAAAAAAATCTCATTCGGCTCTCATTACAAAATTGTAGTTCTTTTTTTGGATATGCATCAGAGACATATTAAAATTGAGAAATCTATTCAACAGAAAATTAAAAATTGTCAGAAAATGTATTTTTGTGTATGTTTATACCCACCTTGTATTATATTTTGGATCATTTTTCACTATATTTATGTATAACTCTATTATCAGGCTTAATGGTAACTTGTAAAAATTCATGCTAGCTGAACTAATGTCAAAGATTAGGCATGGTCAATATCAAAACTTGAGCTTAATAGGTTTGTCAGAAAAAATGCTGAAAATATCATAAATGTGTTAATTTTTCAGGTTCAATTTTAGGGTCAGGATTAGCTTGACCTAATAAGTTTTGCATTTGAAGTGTATCAGCCGAATTTTTGTCTTATTATTGTACTATTGATGAGTACAATCCAATAGAACACGATTTTGTAGATGAATGGAACATGGGAAAGTGCATAAAAATGATTCTGACATAAATTTGGGGGGGGGGGGGTAGACTATTTCAGCTTTTCGAATAACATGTCTAGATCATGGTTTGCTTCGGCAAGGATACAAATTGCCTTTTTATATTGAAAAATGAACTTCAAAAATACACAATACTCTTTTATATTTATACCATGACTAAATTATCAATGCTTGAAAACTTTTCATTTTCCATGACAATGCAATTACACTGTATCTAAATCAATATCATCCATTTTATTTGTGTTTGCACATTTTTCTTTTTTTGTATGTTTGTTATCAGGATGCTATCTCCAAAATGTGCCTTGAGTCTGTCCTTCATGTAACGGCAACTGAAAGGCTCATTTCCTTCTAAATACTCATTCATTTTTTCCAATGTCTCCTCAATTGAAATTTGCTCATCTTCAGCTTGCTCTAGATATTTTACTACCATTTTAAAAGCATTCTCCCTTTCTTCTTCTTGTGGCCTTCCCACATTTTTAACCTTTGAACCACCCTGTTCAAAAATTCGGGGGACATCCCTCCCAGTTCTAAAGTTTGTGCTACATACTTGATGGTACACAGCATCTGCTGCTGGAAGGTCTGGACAAAAAAAGCATCCGATCTTTTACTTCATCGCTCCATGGCGAATTAAGTTTGTCGCATATTTCTAAACATGTGGAACTATAGTCTAGGGTCATTATAGGGTTCAGTTTTAAATCAGTCTTTCTACCTTGATATGGGTCACCCTATCCACAAAATAGGCAATTTGTCTTATAATTGAATTTGACTTCTTGAGATCTTAGATTTTTGGAATTTCTTTCTGTTGGTGCACTTAGTTTCCGTTTCAAAGCAGATATGACATTAGTATTTGTATACTCTTTTCTACAATGGACATGAACAACTTGCCCAACTGCTATAGTAAAGCTATCATTTCTAGCATTAATTGCCTTTTGTAAACCTGACATGCCCTTTTCACCCAGTTTTACAGTTGGCACAGTACTGTCAGAGAGTGTTTCATTACAAAGTATGCACTCATCATTATCCACATCCATCATCTCAGCCATGATTATGATTTCTACTTAACTAGTACTTAACTAACTACTAAACTAATCTTGTATATCTTATCTACTCTAACTAAATTATGTTAACTATCTTAACTACACTAAACTATCTCAACTACATGTAATTCATATTTTATCACATAACAGCTTAGCTGATTGCTATGGATGGTTCCCTATGACTGAATAGCTATATGTGAATGAAGCAAGACTGTATATACAGTATTATTATATATCTACCATTTACATGAGAATATACAAGAATATAATTGTCTCGATAAAGGAGGTATAGTGTAATGTCACAATAGTAACACTAAGACAAAGAAAAAAAATCTTCAGCTATATATACAATAGACTGTGTATCAACACAATTACATAACCTTACCACAAAATGTGGACTTGGGAATACCGCACCACAAAATGTGGACTTGGGAATACCGCACCACAAAATGTGAACTTGGGGATACCACACCACAAAATGTGGACTTGGGGATACCACACCACTAAATGTGGACTTGGGGATTCAGCTTGGTTCTGGACAATTAAATCAAAATCATACCTGTGTCCAAATACAGCTAACCAACTTTTCAGCTCACCTACCAGCACAGCTTTTCAGCACTGCTTATCAGCTCATCACAGCTCAATCAGCAAGGCCAATGACATCTGACAATTTTGTGTATTGAAGCATTATATGTATAACTCAACCTAATTCCATAATGTAATTTATCTTTTCATAATCAACGTATTCCTAGGTATGCAGATTAAATTTGCAATCACATCAAGGATATTTTTGGTTAAATTGCAATATTTAAATAATGCTTGTAATTTGGTATAATGGAATATCACATAGATAATGTTTATTATTTTAATTATTTAATAATACCAGATGAAAATAAGGCATACAAAATAATCTAAGCCATGAATGTACATTATTCGACCAATTCAACATCCCACATGCCATGCTCATGATCATCCAGTATTATAAGTGTTTATAGAACATATGTACTATACTATTTGCGTTTATTATGCTCAGTTACTATGGCAACCAATCATGTTCAGACTCATTACATTAAAGAATTACATCAGCATCCATGACCTCTATAAATATAACTGTGACTGATCCTGTAAAATGACATTTCTAGGAAATTATCACCAAAAAGTGCCACGCCCATTATCATATAATTCATCAAATTAATCATGTTATCTTATTAAACACTCCCCATATATGTTTTAAGGGTAACTTTATGTTCATTTCTAAATGACTTGAAGAGAAATGGCAACATCAGTTAGTATAGGAAGCTTCAAATTTACTGAAATATTAAAGATTTTGAGCATTTAAGTTGTGTTGCTATGGTAACCAATTGACCAATTTATATCAAACTTGCTGTGACAACTGAACTATATATAGGTGCATGATCCCTGAAAATTTTATTGTGATTGCAGTTACATAACAGAAATTATTAATGTTTATCATAGTACCCCTTCATAAAATTACCCCAGGGGGTATAAATGGTGATTTAAAGGTTTTCCACCACTTAGATTTTTCTAGATTTTTGATATGTCATTTTACTTACCAATGGTTATTGATTACACTAGGTTTACATTTTGTTGCAATTTTCTCATTTATTTGTGAATATTTACAACGGTTTTACTGGAGTATTAGCAAAATCACCCACAATGTGTGAATATTTGGTAAAAATGTTTAACTAATATACAAATACATCGTATGTTGTACATAAGACAGACAAATGAATATATAAACGCGCACGACCATTTTGATGGCACACTACCCGCCATACGTTTGATAACTGAACGTCCCCTTTTGGATAATTTATTAAAGCCCGTTTATTTTGGGTGATTTAAATAAATGACAGCTTTGTCGTCATTTCCCTAACTATAATTAAGAGTGATAATTAATTAATATGATTAAATTTAAACATTTGCGTTTTGATGTACAATCCTCTTGTTGTCAAACTTATGGAGGGGAGTGTATACCTATTGTACACCTTCATTTCAGAAAGAGGAACTGCTTGTTTAACCTTGGAGGCCACTGTGCTACTGAAAAGGCTGCTTCTGTTGCTGACCAGTGGCACTATCTTAACAGTGCCATTAGTCCTGGAAGGAAGAGAAGGGACACTAAGGAACCAGCAAGATCTTCCGAGAAGAGTCTACTTAGTGAAATCGCTGAAGGATTACAACACTAACTTGAATGATGTATCTCTTTTAGTTAACATAATTGGTAATTGCCTACTTTCTCTGGCTGCCATTGTTCTAGTTGCCATTAACAAGTTTGGCTGCCTCGATTTCCTCTTAATCGCGTTAGCGTGCTTTATGGTTGTGCGAGCCCAAAGAATGTTATCTACGTAATTCAACAGTAAAATCAAGTCTAATGACATAAAAGGTGTTAAAAGAATGTCCCCTATAGGAAACAGACCCTCTTAAATGCACGCCTCGACACCTACCAACCATTTCAAAGATTTATGCGAACACCATTGGCGAGCTCGAGATAGCAAGTTGTCAATGAATGTGATATTAAAAAGTAATGCCTGCATGGGGAGCCGAGAAAGATATGCTTGTTAGATGTACTGTGTCATGATAGATACATGGTATCATGCGGGATGCATGGCGTCATGCTAGATGCATGGTGTCTTGATGCATGGCGTCATGTTAGATACATGATGTATTGTTACATTCATGGCGTCATATTAGTGCATGGTGTCTTGTTACATGCATGGCGTCATATTCGATGGTGTCTTGTTACATGCACTGTGTCATGTTAGATGCATGGTGTCATGTTACATGCATGGTGTCATGCTAGATGTATAGTGTCGGGTAAGATGTATGGTGTCAGGTTAGATGTATGGGACCACACTGGATCAGGGTGTCAGGTTAGATGCATGGTGTCATGTTAGATGCAGTGTGTCATATTAGATTCAAGGTGTTATGTTGATGAATACATGGTACCTGGTTAGATACATGGTGGCAGGTTAGATGCATGGTGTCATGTAAGGCGCATGTCGTCATGTTAAAGGCATAGTGTCGGGTTAGATGCATGGCGACGGGTTAGAGGCACTGTGCTATGTTAGATACATGATGTGTAAGGTGTATGTCATCAGGTTAGACACATGGCGTCATGTTAGATGTATGGTGTCATGTTAGATGCATGGTGTTATAATATATGCATGGTGTCATGTTAGATGTAATGTTCCAGGTTGTCATGTTTCCAACAAGAAATTGGATGAACGTATTGCCAATTTTAAAAACACCTCAAGATCTAGTTGGGGAACATGCCTACCTACAATATTATGTTATCATGAATCGAGCCAATCAACTCCGTTTCGTTGGTGCAGCGTAAGATCTTCATATAGAAAAATATCACGATATAAAAAGAATAATAGCTGTAATTATAACGCTTAATATTGTTGCTTCATTATAGTAATAGTTCATGGAGTATGTAACGTACACAATTAATAGATCAGGGCAAGGACCTTCTTTTCTTTAAATGTTTAAGCTTGAAAAAATGTTCACACAGAAAAATAATCAATTTTCTTTTAAAATTTAAAAAATTGCGAGTTTTTTTTTAAATTGCTCTTGCAATTAACTAATTGAGAATTCAACCTTTGATATTTCGAGAAAGGAATGTGTATTGTGTAGTTGTATATATGATATATACATATACTTATTAATTGTGTATATACACTCTCCCATGTATACCGTTCCGTATTTGTGATCGTGATGACATTAATACGGAATAATTTATACCATTTCATGAAAAATGGTGACCTTGTCCTACGGAAATTGAGATTATGTTTCACAGCAAGTTCGCATGGCGATACTGTATAGCAGATGCTCTGGAGAATTGATTCTACTTTCTATAGACACCAAACACATCTCTGTCCATAGAATAATAAAAAAGCCTTAGGGCCCCAACCTGCTTTGTTTACATTAAGAAAAACGTGAAAAAAAGACAAAAGTTGTCATAACTTTTTAAATCTAAATCTGTTGAAACCGATTTCACTTGCTAGCGACAGATACTTTCGTCTTTCACGAACCGAACATGTCAGTTTGGTTTGTAATGTCTCCAAATAAATGATTTCAACATTTTGAAAAACTCGATGCTAGTCCACGTGTTAATACGGAATGGGTAAACGGTTTCCAAGTGTTAATACGGAATGGGTGTTAAATCGTATACATTCCCGGGGAAATCATAATTTCCATAAAACTTGCAATGATAATTGTTCTGATAGCTTATTGATGGACATTGGACAGTATCTTATTGTATGCAAATGGCACATTAATCGACGGCGTCAACACGTGTGTCAATCGCAAGGATTGAATGTACATAATTAGTGTTTTCTTCTTTTTTCTTAAGTATTAAAAGATAATTTGTACATCGACGGCATCAACGCGATAGCTTTACGCCCATTAATAGTAAAGATAGATTATTGTACTTTTTCTTATTGCATCTAATAGGTAGTACTTTATCGACTGCTTCAACGACCGTCAACACCAGGTATTGGTTGTTCATAAACATTTTCATTCTTTTTTATTATTGTATGTAACAAATAATTTCATCCCTTTATGTAACATTCATGTGGGGACGCCAACTGCTTGGCTTGAAACACAATAAAATCTTGAATCTTGTATTACATGTAACCACACCAATTCTTGTGGATATAAAAAACATGATAATAAAAGCACCAACAAACATCTGAGTGATTTGTTTACCGAGTTTGACCCAGTTCACCATACGTTAATCCTGTTAATTAGCTGTACTAAGTTTATAATCCCAAATTAATCACGCGCTCCTTATCAATCCCCTCAATTATTTACCATGAAGTGTTAACTATCCCACACCGCAACGCCCAAAGAACTGCGCGTACACAGATGAGGTATGTTATTTTACGTCTATTTTCAATTCTTATAAGGATACCAAATCATGTAGGCTAGTCAGGCAAACCTTTTTTCGTAGCGGTTATCATACTTTCATCAAAAATCTGAACCCGCTTTTCAAGATGCCTCGACCTCGTAGGAAGAAGAAATTGGGATTGACTTTGGGGAAAAGGAGGAGGAAACGGTCTTCTACAGTTAAAACTGATGGCTCGAGTGAAGTTATAATTGAAACTAAATGTCCATGCTACTGAAACCCGTATTCAAGGTATTATGTTTCATACTCCGGGTTAAAACACACTCATATTGTATAACACTACTAATTATTTTAATCTTCATTTCATTCACGGGTGCACCGTTTCGTTCATTGAGCTTACTTATTGAGTCGACCAATTCCGTATTAACACGTGGACTAGCATCGAGTTTTTTAAAATGTTGAAATCGTTTATTTGGAGATATTACGAACCAAACAGACATGTTCGGTTCGTCAACGACTAAAGTATCTGTCGCTGGCAAGTGAAATCGGTTTCAAAAGTTTAAGATTTAAAAAGTTATGACAACTTTTGTCATTTTTTCACGTTTTTGTAAATGTAAACAAAGGAGGTTGGGACCCTAAGGCTTTTCTATTATTTTATCGACAGAGATGTGATTGGTGTCTATAGAAAGTAGAATCAATTCCCCAGAGCATGTGCTATACAGTATCGCCATGCGAATTTGCTGTGAAACATAATCTCAATTTTCGTAGGACAAGGTCACCATTTTTCATGAAATGGTATGTATTATTCCGTATTAATGTCAACAATTTCACTAATACGGAACGGTATACAAGGGAGAGTGTATATGTACATATCGCTATGAATTAAAGAAAATAGGCCACTGCCCTTTAACGCCGTACATAGGACTTGTAAATGTGTCTTCTATTTGTAGATCGAGACTAATGGTCGACTGATACTTTCGTACCTCATCATAGGTGTGTCCCATCATAGATGTGCCCCGTCTGATGTATTGGATGCACCCTCTTAGACTCATCATTCTGTAAATGTTTGTCGACAAAGCCATCGTGTTCACTTTTAAGACCAGTTGCTCGAAAAAGCTACACTACACAAACTGACATTAAAAAAGGTTTATTGATAATCACAAATGGATATTATGTTTGCAGAAATTACTTGCTCATCAAATTAGGTGTTCAACCTATACGTAACTTAAACGTAATGCACATAAAATGACGTAACAAGGATCGGGCGATCTTAATACTATGGTATAGCTTATTTAAACCAATTAACTTGTTGAATAAGGAGGGGTCGAAAAATTGTAAAGACTAAGATCTTTAGGTAACGATGTAATAGGGCTAGAATGGCATCTCTATCACAAGGTACCACCTGGTATCGGTATACACTCCCCTTTATAAGTTTGACAAATGAAAATCACCCATTTGGATCAATTTGGTGATATGAAAAAGTCATCCAAAGTAATAACATTACAAAAAAAGATCCATCGGCAGGCTCCACATGCCATTAATTGACGTCCTGCGGTTGCCAAGCCTATGGAGGAAAGTGCGTGGCTTGAAACTACCTATAGTAGAGAGGTTTAGCCTTACCATAGACCAATGGGGCAATTTGTGACCTCCATAGACGTAACTTTGCATTGGACCTCGTGGGATTCCATCCGTGAAACCCATGGGGCAAAAGCCTACGAAGGCCATCGAGAATGAATATGTTCATTCTTCCCTGTTTCTATGCAGAATCATCTCGAATCATGGGACCTTTGATCATGTGACGTGTCAGGCGACTTTGCATCAACATGGCCTCGGTACAACATTCTAAATTAAATTACATTATTTCAATAGGACTCGATATGGCATAGAGAGACTCGATGAAACTCGAGGGGCAATTGGATTCTTGCCCCATTTCTGTAGTATTGACATTAAGTGTCGATTTGAAATACGTGTTCCCGAACGTTTTCACCAGATGTACACGTTTGATCATTGATCTGGTTTCGTTTTCGTCAAAACCTCGAGCCTCAAAAATTATGATCAATATAGCATGTAAAAAGTAATTCTTCCTCTATAGCTTTACAAAGTTACAGAACTTGCAGATAAAAATGAATTAAACTCAAATGAATTAAAACTCACATATCTTTGACTCGGTGTTATGATGGACAAGTATGAAATGTTTTTATCGAGTTAAAGTTTTTATTTGCATAATAAATAGAATATCAGATGCTCATACACAAAAAACTGCACTCATTTCAAAATATTCACTTAAATATTTTTCTGCGTGGTAACATGCATTCGTTTACCTAAGTTTGACATGTACTTTTTATCAGTGGCACGATAAATGGTTATGGACACATCAACAGTGCAATGTATGTAAACGGTGAATAAACTGACGTGTCGCAAAAAGGTGGCGCATTTGTTTTTTAAGGGTATCGCGTGAATGTAACTTTGATTCCCCGGATTATAAGATAATATTCAAATTAAAGTTATATATCATTTTAAAGCTGTTTCAATGAAGTTTTTAGATCAACTACACTACGTTCACGATTCTTGCGCGTTCTTTTTAAAAAAATAGTTTTTTACCAAAACATCTGGCAAATATCCCCTGTTGACACGTTACATTTTAAATTATTTTTCGTCTTTAAACGCTCATAACTCAAACAATATATGACTAGTATACTTATTTTTCTTGATAAAGGTAGATGGAAGTTTTATTTCAAAGAATGAATGTGGAGGACGAAAGGATTTCCATATGTGTACATTTTTCTCAAAAAACGTCACATTCTGTGGTGTTAAAAAGCGAAAATGTGTAACAATGCGTGCGCGACCTTTTTGCGACACGTCACTATGTTAAAATATTAGAATAAACTTTTGTTTTTTATAATGATGATGCTTTCACACACATTTCAAACATTCTGTTGCTGTTTATTCTTGAAAGTGGACAAGGGATGTGATTTTGCCTCTTACGACGTTAAATTATTTTTCTGGCTCGAGAGGGCTTGTAACGACTGTAGTTTTAACGCTTTCCAGAGGTCCCACCACTTGGACATTTCATCCTCTAGACATTTTGCTCTCTGGTCATTTCATGGAAAAATCACTTCATAGACGTTTCACTCTCTGGACATTTTACTCCCACTATTTGGACGTTTCAACACATATATGGAAATTTCACTACCTCGACGTTTTACCCCTTAGACGTTCATTAGTTACTATTGATGGCTGGACAACGCACCAAAAGATTTGTATGAGAAACTACACGCGTAATTATGAATATTACGCGTGTAATTTCAACCGATTCACTAATACAATTCATAAGTTGACCAGCAGTAATGCTAGCCATGATATTTGATTTGCATGTTTAGGGAAATAATTTGAGCTGAGTGGACATGCGTTTTTTTTATCATAGCATGAATTTCACTGGCTGTTTTAGCTAACACCTGAAATGGCCTTTTAACGGGTAATCTTTAACACGTGTTTAAATCAATAAAGCGTGCAATAACGGGTGTGATTAAGCGTGAAATTTAAGTCGTGTTTCGATGTATTACAACGCGTGTAATTACGCCAAGTTACAAGTGTTATATTCATAATTCAAGGAGGATTGGCTCCCAGAATCGAAGTCGATATTTTCCAACAATGAAAACGCCGAAATGTCGTTATTTTCTGAAATTATAACCGATTATAAATTCAAAATAAACAGTTCAAAATATTCGAACCAATATCTCGATCATTTCTTGTGAGTTTTGGAATTTTTCGTTGGGAAATAAGACCAAAATTCACGATTCAAATGTTGAAGTGAACAAAATGGCGGTCGTTGGAATTCAAATTTTGTAGCACGACATGTCCATATATGGGGCAGAATATCGATGTTGCACTCTGGGAGCCAATCCTCCTTGTTCATAATTCGAACATGACTGTATTCACGCCATCTATAAACTGTGAACAAAGTCAATATTTCTCCCGGGAGTATTCGTCAACAATACCCTGGGAAATTCGAATGTGTGCCGTGATAACGTCGGGCTATAGTAATGGCGGACCATAATGAATATTCGAAATATTTTGGTCAGTTTTCATAATCGTAATACAGACCTCAGATCAGTTGCTATCGACCAATAAACCTCTTAAGGCTAGGCACAGAAGCTTTAGCTTTCGAACCCCTCACTTTTATTTTTTTTCTAATTTCTTTTTCAAAATTTTTTCTTTGAATAATTTTTCAGAATTTTTAAATTTTTAATTTTTTTTGCTTGGCTATAATGGTTTCCATGGGATAAACGGACAATCCAATATTTTCAAAAATATCAATTACATCCATTGATGGATTTAAATGATATTTTCTCAAACCTGTAGGGTTACTCCTTTAATATATTCGAGTTTAATATACGAGTTAACAAACAATTGTTAACCTCTCGTATATAAACTTTAAACCTTGAAAATACTGTTGATCTCGACTTACGGTCTCGGTGAACAGTGCGTTCAAGGTTTACAGTATTGGCATACAGTTTTGCCAGTTGACCTCAAGAGAGGTATACTGAAACCATTGGGAACCAAGAAACACATACTTCATACATAGACAAGATAGGAATTCGAAAGAGAACATGCAACCGATCTCAACCTGATAAAAATAACATCCAAGGATACCATAAATACCCGATTATGTATTTGAGTTCTTCAAAATTGCCATATATTCAGAATTTGAGAAACATTTATTTTCACGATATTGACGATTTCATAAATATATTTACAGGTTATACATATTATTGAAAAATATATGTTCATATCAAACACTATGATGGATCAAGTGTGGGGGGGGGCTGCGAAGGGCCATTGAGGCAGGTGTCATAGTTACAGTGGTAGGTACACCCCATGCAGACAGATCGCCAACAAATAACATTCGTATGATGCCAGACTCGACATTCACCAGGAAACTAGAAACATTTTGCCACCCATGAAGCAAATTAATTTTTTACTGCTTGATTGGTGAATGCCAGTCACATTGAATGATGTGTAATTCAAGGTAATAAAGTAATATCATACTAATGTCCGATCATAAGTTCGAATAGCAGTTGTGTTTCAAATATTAACTGTATGGCATACACGTGACCAATGTTAATGCTTCCAGGGGGAATCGGACCTGCAGGCCTTACTATTTATACATGTTTTTTTTCTGTTTCGGAAAATTCGATATGTGATGCATATTTCTTAGTGCTTCAAAGAAATCTACAAATATTTCGTTAAAATTATTTCAAGTTTCCTGGTGAATGTCGAATCTCGCATCAAACGAATGCAATTTTGGGCAATCTGTCTGTATGGGGTGTAGGTAGTCCAGGGCAATCTTTTTTAAATACATTTATTCATAATATTTTTGGAGATGTCGTTGAGGAGGGCCATTGACGCATGCATAATTGTTAGATAGCAGGGAGTAATGTTTTTATTTTGTTTCATGTGTCCATTGTATGATATACCAATCCATTGTTACAAGTATTGCCTCATGGAGTGCAATTTACTATATTTACGATGAGTGTGATGTTATAATGTCGCTTATAATCAGCCTATGGGTATAGCATACCGAAAGCTTTAATAAGTGCTATTATTCCAATTATGAATAATTGGAACTTTGACTTTTTTTGTCACCATATAAACGTACCCACAGTTCAACATTCTACCACTTCACATTTCTCCGACGAAAGAACAATTCTAGGAAACGAACCATGAACTTCTACATTTACTCAATACTCGCGAATGTGATTCTAATCTGCTCCGTGATGATTGAACAAAGCAATGCTTCCGTGCTTAAAGTTCATGAAAGCGTTGCAAAACTAAATAAAATTACCGATCGGAATATCATAGTTAAATCCGCATATTCTGCCAAATTAACAAATGGGGAACCAGTTGCCAACCTACGAAGCAAACGTAGTGCATATTTTAACTTTAATGCACTGATGCCAGGACCAAGGTTTCACAGGCATATAAGACACAATCGTCCCCATCGAATTTTAAGACGCCGCAAATTCAGACAATGTGTCCTCAGAAAGATTACCACAGGAAGGAAAGGTACGTGGACGTGGTTACCCGCATACAAAAGATACGCCTGGTTGCCAGAAGAGAAGCCAGACAAGGACGACAGTTTCAGCAAACTTATGCGTTATGGAAAGTGAGCCCAAAGTAAAGAAGTAAGAGTACGACTAAAAGTTTCAAAAACATTAATGAAAATCACGGTTGTTCGTTATTCGCAAGATGGGACAATGAGAACAATTGTGCCGCTAAATTTTGGTGATTCTGAAACTGAAATTGACATTTAGATTCGAATGTTTAGATTGATATAGAATAATTGAAAGCTGGCGATCATAGAAGTTGAAAATAATGTTGTATAAAATGGCGTTAACTATTGAAAGGACATTGTGTTCGTGATATTTCAAATCGATGTGGCGTTTGATGACGTGGACCAAAAAATGTATATTACGTTGGTAAGGGGTCGCCTTATTGGCCTCACTTGATGCTTAAACCATATATACATAATCTTCTTCACTAACTGCACTATACTGTCGGATATTACGCATCTAAGTTATTTAGAATTGATTAATGTAAAACTGACTATGAGGTATTACCAACTCTTAAACAAAGAATGATATTATATTATTCATCCATACAGAGTCCCCAGGGTGGTTGCCTCCTCAAAGCTACCTATAACTATAATGCGTGTTCTTTTCTCAATGACAATTTTTAAAATTGCGATAAGTGCTTTGTGATTATTTATAAAGGGGTGCAGAATCAAAATTCCATCACTTCAACCAAAGCAGCGCTTCTATGAGAAAGCGATCAACAATCATGGTCATCTTCACTTACTTGATGCTCGCGAGTGTGATTCTTGTCTGCTCTTTGGTTGAACAGAGCAATGCTGCTGTGCTTAGAGTTAACAAAAACGTTGCCAAACTAAATCAAATCACTGGTGGCGATCTCGAAGTAGAAAGTGAATATTCTGAGAATCAGGCAAAGGCTCAAGACACCAGGGAAACAGTGTCCAACCAACGTAGCAAACGTAGTGCACATTTGAACTTTAGCGCAATGATGCCAGGACCAAGATTTCACAAACACAGGGGACACCGTCGCCATCTTAAGTCAAGACGCAACAAATCCAGGTCGCCAAATGTCCGAAGAAGAATAACAGCCGGAGGTAAAGGTACGTGGACGTGGTTACCCGCATACAAAAGATACGCCTGGTTGCCAGAAGAAAAGCCAGACAAGGACGACAGTTTCAGCAAACTTATGCGTTATGGAAAGTAAATTAAACCTGAAGAAGTGATGTAACGGCTGTAAAGTCCCAAAAAGAAAAATAACAGGCGCAAAGGTGGACATGGTTATCAGCATACAAGACATACGCTTGGTTTCCATTAGTCAAAATAGATAAGGACGATACTTAAGAAAAGTATATATGTTAGGGAAATTGAATTTAAAATTAAGAAGTAATGAAAGAAATTATACTTATAATATATAAGACTATGCTAAGATGTTGATTAATTTAACCGTTAATTCATGACGATCGTGAAATTAATGACACGAAAAGAGTTCTAATGTGAGTTTTAATGAGACGAAAAGTAAATTCTATCAGGAGAAGTTTGTACACCTGCATTAGGTGTAGTACGCACATATAAAACTGTATCATCGGCATAAATGAATAATGTAGATTGTTTTTTAATTAATATGTATTTGTATTTACATTTCTTATAAATATTTTCTTATAAATAAATTCTTATGCTTATTTGCAAACCCAGTTTTGTAATTTATTTCTAATAATGTCAAATAGTATACATGTAAGATATATTTTCCTAAAAATGTTTTCAAAATAGAAATTCATATATCGACCCACCGTCATCCCCGGAATTACCAACTAAATGTTTCCTCATGATTACAGGATGCCCAAACCCAATCAGTCCAATCTATCTTTTAATACGTGTTGCTGCTTAAAGATGTCGCATCGTTCTAAGGTATCTTGTTTTACTACCTTTTGAAATAAATCATCCATCTTTTCAATTTCATTTGAGCTGCAGGCATTGCGCAATTGACCGGTATTAAGTCACTAAAAATTGTTTGACATACTTGTCAAAGAAGAATTCTTGGTCTATGCGCCAAATACTAATAATAACATCTCCAGGGCACCATTCTAATTTTTCATTTAAAGGAAGCGTAAAAAACATATTATTGAATACATCAGGTGAAGATGAGGTTTTGATTTCTTTCTCGTTAGTTCTCGTTGACTACATGTAAAAAATATGTGCCCGAAATCATCAATTGGACGAAGGGAACAACGTTTGCAAAAACCATCATCACATTTTCTTCTTTTGAGGTCGGTTTCAATACCAAAACACTCAGTTCTGGCTTTGAACTTCAATCTCTGTCCAACAAAATCATTATATATTTGAAGCAAGTTAATTCTCAAGAAATGGGGTTCATAAAATTCTAGTGAAGATTTCGATAAACATTCAACAAGAAAATTACTTTTGTGCTGTTGGGAGGATGTGGTAATAAAAAATCATGCCCTTCATTGTCATTTCTAAATACAAAATCATCAAGGCCATGTTCAATGTATGTTTTCAAAATATGGCCAACCGCATGTTTTAATCTACCCTTGAAATTTTCAAACAGTTTATCAAAAATTGCTTTATGTAGGCCGTTCCTCAATGTGAACTTAAGATATAAAAAATAAACAATTTGTCTTTTCTGAATAATGTAAATAATGCTTCTCCAGCCAAGGTCACCTAACATTGCTGCCTTGGCAGGGTTACATTTAAGTTGAAAAATTGATTTAGCCAATTTATATTGCATTGAAGAAAGGGTCTTTACAGGTCTTGTCAAGAATTAGAACACCACATCCATGCAACAAAGCAGGGAGCTACTGGGAGTAGTATAATGTATTACCAAATGATATTTTATTACAATTAATATGTTTCGTTAAAGTTGATGCAAATAGATTTTCTTATCCTTTTCTTTTAAAACAACATTCACATGCAGATCTCTCTTAATTGCCTATTTACATGAATGCCAATATATCTGAAAGTATCAATTTTTTTGATTTCAAAGTCACCCAATACCCAAGTTCTATTTTTATCAATTCGCTTGCCAATAATCATGATTACTTGATTTATTAGGGTCAAATCGGAATCCTAAGCACTGAAGCAAGATATGATAATTTGCTGATATCATATCGGATATGTCAGTTTAACTATCAAAGTCTTTCATTGTCGTAATTCTCAGTAGCTCCATCTTTTGTAAAATAATGTTGATAAACAGCATAAAGGATAACATTCACATGGAATTTGATTTGTCATCTCGTATTTCGTGCTTTTGACTCCAAGTGAAACCCCGCAAAGTCAGGAAATGCGCTTGTGTTTTCCTGTTAAATACTAATAAACACTCATTCAAACTCTCATTTTTATTATCTATCTCAAAACTTAGATTGCGTATGATTATCAAAGAAATGTAATTGATTACAAAACGTCAACTGTTTATTGAAATTGAAACATGAAACAGATTGTGAACCAAATAAGCCTTTTAATTCGAAAATGTAAAAGTAGAGTCTTTACAATGCATTTGACGAAATTGAATTTTCTTTTAGTATTGAATTAAGTAAATATCTAATTGATTAACGTAAAATTTTAAGCAGAGAAGTTATGGTTTGAACTGGAAATGCCATTTTTGGGTTATGCCATAATTCAATGAGAACGGTACTGTCCGTTTGTCTTATATGGTTAGGTGTCTCGTGATAATTAATTTGATTACTTTGATAACTCAAATACCAGTCAAGGTTTGGCCCTCAGGCACTCAACTCGATATTTTCCAACAATGAAAATGTCAGAATGTCGTTATTTTCTGACATAATAACTGACTATAAATTCATTATCAGCAATCCAAAATTCGAACTTACATATTTGTCACTTCTTGTGTGTTTTGAAATTTTCTGTGTGGAATTAAGACCAAAACTCGCGATCCAAATTCTGAAGTGAACAAAATGGCTAGAGTTTGGATTCGGATTTTGTCAAGGAGGATAGGCTCCCAGGATCGAAGCTCAATATTTTCCAACAATGTAAACGTTGAAATGTCGTTATTTTCTGAAATCATAACGAACAATAAGTTCAAAATAAACAGTACTAAAGATTCGAACCAATATCTCGATCATTTCTTGTGAGTTTTGGAATTTTTCGTTTAGAAATAAGACCAAAATTCAAATGTTGAAGTGAACAAAATGGCGGCTATTTGAATTCGAATTTTGAATCACGACGGGGACACACAACTTATTATATTGATCCTTCCACCAGAGTGGGACGAATAGATGGCATTTTAAAGGCAAGAATAGAGTCCAATTATTGTAATTCTATTAGGATCACTAGTGGTTGGATTTTAGTAAGTGTATGAATGAAAAAGTGTATGTACAGGGTGGTCCAAAAATGGGACACTCGCATTTCAAAAATAAAAATTGATATTGTTAATGAAAATGTATCATATTATATACCAGTGGATATGGAATTTACTTATCTTTAATTTGGTATATCATAAGTTCAAATTTATTATAATGCCTATCAACCAGCGTCCATAATTCAAATGGCGTCATTTTCTTTTCAAAACGGTTTTTCAAAAACTTTTAAAAATCAAGTTTTTTGTCAACATGAACAGAAGTTCAATATGTCCACTATTCTGATCAAATATATGCCTACATCTTGGCATAAACTTGTTGATATTATCATTGATATGCTTTTGAAATAATAAATTCTAGTTCTCCACAATTCTGTCCTTTAGGGACTGAACGGATGTAAGGGGTTCATGGTATACCAACTCTGTTATTAGTTCTCATCATACTTGGTAGTCGCAGAAGTTAACATTAGGTGTTCTGGTTTCAGGGGGAAATTAAGGCTGTAAGGGGAATGATTCAATATGTCCTGCACTGAGGACTTATTCCTGATCTTCATATTCCAGCAAGAAGGGGCTTCAAACCATAGATCCCACAAGACATTAAAATACAGGGTGTTCAAAAAAACGCAACCCAAAGAAATCGCTATCTCTTGGAAAATACTAATCCAATTATGTTCATATTTTCAGGAAAGAAAGAAGAGACTGTGTATGTATGCTTCCTGGTCAACTCAACCCCAAGTCAACTCAACCCAAGTTAACTCAACCCTTAGTCAAGTTGACCGCAAGTCAAGTCGACCCTTAGTCAACTCGACCCCAAGTCATCTCGACCCTTAGTCAACTCGACCCCAAGTCATCTCAACCCTTGGTCAACTCAACCCTTAGTCAAGTCGACCCAAATGATTTTACTTGTTTTAAGTAGATTAAAATACAATATAATCCCATTGTTTGTGCAGTTTGATTTGAAATCAAACTTCAAAGAAAAAAAATTCCTGCCACCTATAGATCAAAACGAAGATTTGAAATGGATCATAAAATCCCAATCTGATTGTTTATGACACCTGACATGGGTACGATAATGGAAATTGTAAAATCATAAATCCCATTGTTTGTTCAGTCTTGTTTTAAAATCTAGATTAAAAAAATAAACATTTCTATCGCCTATAGATCAGAAGGAAGATTTGAACTATATCATATTGTTTATTGTTTATTATTATTATCAAAATATAAAATCATTCAATACAAAGTAATGGATGGATGTTGGCACAATGCACATGTTGCATAAGTTACCTGTTGTCAAAAATACTGTTGCAACAATTTCGGTATAACAGAAAAGTGTATAGATAATTTTTTTATTTCAGAGAGATAAAACAAGCTCAAATATGAAGGGGTGAAATATATGTATAGCATCGTGAATAGCCCTATTAAGATTAATCAAATATTATTTTGGTAAATAAATGTCATATTTATAAAAATTATAAATGCGTTAAGCACAAACTTCAATAGTTGATAATTTTATTTTGGAAAATTAGCATTTTAGTCCCTCATTCTTTCAAAATTCATCAATATCATACCATGAAAATAGTATATCTATTTGTTTTTTATGGTGGGGTCGAGTTGACTAAGGGTTGAGATGACCAAGGGTTGAGATGACTTGGGGTCGAGTTGACTGAGGGTCGAGATGACTTGGGGTCGACTTGACTAAGGGTCGACTTGACTTGGGGTCGACTTGACTAAGGGTTGAGTTGACTTGGGTTGAGTTGACTTGGGGTTGAGTTGACCAGTTACCGTATGTATAGCCCCTGTTGTGAGTTAGTTGTAAAACATGTTGTCTTGGACACTTGCTCAAAAGACAGTTGTACTAGCAAAATACGAAAAACGCGAATGGAAAATCACCATATCTTGGAAAATACTAATTCAATTATTTTCATTTTTTCAGGAAAAGAAAGAAGAGACTGTGTATGTATAGCTCCTGTTGTCAGTAAATTGTAAAACATGATGCCTTGGACACCTGCTCAAATGACAGTTGTACTAGGAAAATATGAAAACGCAGTCAGAGGTGTCTGCCACAGCAATAAAACCAAATAACTCTCTAACCATGGTGTTTTGGCACTTCAGATTTGGCACAAATTATCCTCATTCAATGTGTGGTGAATCTGTGTAGTTTCATTAAAATCACTCAGGGGACTTTACAGTCATGGTCAAAATGCCTTCTTAAGTCTCCCTGAACCAGGTCGTTTGACTGCGATTTGAAAGCATTTCAACTATGACAGTGAAGTCCCTGAAGTGATTTTGATTTCACCAAACAGAATTACCATACAGTGAAAGAAGATGGTTTGAGCCAAATTTGAAGAGCCAAAACACTA